TGGTAAAGTTAAAAATGATTTACTAATAAAATCAGAAGTGTGGTTTACATTTGTAACGAATCTCCTTAGATGTAATACCCTTAAATTAAATCTAGTCCACCCACTTGCCTTCAAAAGTGACCTAACTGATGCATAGAGCATCACACATCTAGAAAACCACCCCTGCTATGAACATAGTGGTAGCAGCATCAAGCTGGATGGGGAATGGAACTAAATAAATGACAATCCCAGAATAATGGATGCAAAAGAGTTGAGTGTTGGGTGGAGTTTTTTTTTTGCTGCAATGACAGCAGCAACATCTACAAAAGCAGAAAGGGGGCCAAACACACATGCATGCCACACTTTTCAGTTTTACTTTAACAAATGTAACTGAAAATTCCTTCAAGTGGGACATGATGCTCTACTTTGAGTTGCTTCATCACATGACATCCAAGGAAAACTCGTGGTAATGAGTTATACCGTGAAGCAAAGTATAAAACAATGAATCCTTCTGGATGTTTGATGGGTAAAACCCCCACCTACCTAACAAAGCAAGCCTGTCTTTAGCCATTGTGAGGTTGGCTTCCATTTTATCTCGTAGTCTCTTCGCTCGTTCATAGTGATCTCCTGCTGATAAAACATAAAATGTAAAGCGAAGCCAAATTGCCCTGCAGTTGATCCCAGAGATCAGATCCTTACCTGTCCCCGTGATCTCCACCGCAATTCCTCTCTGCAGCTCAGCTATTCCCTTCTTGTACCACTGAACAGCTTCCTTCTTTTCTCCTGGTGAGATAAGACACAGATTAGCCGTTATGACACGACCTGTCAGTTAGCCAGTTTTGTAAAACAAATAAACACACCTGCATCATCCTCATCGATCTTTAGCGCCTTCGATATATACTCGAACGCCTGCTTGTGGTGGTTTTTAATGAGTTCACCGCTATCCTTGCTCTTATGTGCATTTGTTTTGGCAGACATTACTCCAGCGTTACTTTCTCCTTCCTCCTGCTTCAGTTTGCTCGTCGTGAAAACAAATGTCACGGCATCCAAACACAAACGCTTGTTAAAGAAGTACTTTGATTAATATTATAAGCTGCGTGTCTCGAACGTTATTGAACATTTATGCAGCAGATGCGGGATTAGCTTCGTGTGTTTTCATATATCTTCTTCTTGTGTGGTATTGTTGGTATTCTTCTTCTTCTATATTGTTGTCAATTGTGATTGATGAACAGCTTAAACGCACAATGGCGTCACCTACTGGGAAGGAGTGTGATGTTTCTTCTTCTCTTGTGTATTATAGCACGAACAGTCTGCAACATCAATTTGTAAATCGCTACCGCCATCTAGCGTAAGGTGAGGGAGGGATACATTTTGTTTAGTATCGAAATAATTTCTGTCAAAAACCATGTTTGCTATAAATAATAATAGAACGTTAATATGTTAACTTCCTTTCATTTAAGGTGAACTAATAGACAAACTGTTAGGTATGGTTCAAACATTGAGAATTGTACAGAAAGTATCTTTATTGTGCCACATTGGGGAAATTCTGGTGTTTATAGCAGCAAAAAGATTATAGAAAAATGGCGACACAGATGTGGACCTTAGTTAAGTGTATAAGAATAACATAACAGTGAAGAGTTAAATAATAAACAAATAAAGCACTCTACTGTAAAGTGTTTTAACAATATAAAACTGTGCACCTGGAGAATAAATAACCAATATACAGCTATGGACATTTTTAATAGTAATGGATATTTTAGAATACCAGAAAAATC